GTGTCCTCAGGAACAGGATTAGCTTTGCTTGGAAACAAAACCTCCATTTTAACCATTTAAATGCTGGTTAATGTAACTGGGATAATAATGGGAAGAAAAATACTCCCCTGCTGTTACTGGATGTATCAGATCTTCAAAAATCATAATGGTGAGTGTTGAATGAACAGATAGATGGATAAATGAAACACACTGGGATTTTTCTGATAAAACAATCAGGGCAATGCAATTTTTCTTTAGAGCACTTAGGGCAGCATCTCCCACTGCTCTGTAGAATCAGTTCTTGCCCTTCCTTGGCTTGAAAATATCTTTCTGTGCATTCAGGTCATATCAAGCTTTTCAAGCTGTATCTTCCTGGGGTTTTGTACCCTCCCATTATTTCTGCAAGAACCTCTGGATTGTGGTTATCCCCCTGGCTCCCTAAAATATCTGATGGATAATTCCTGTAATGGAAATATGTTGATTAAGGTGTGGAGCTTGTCAGAACTGCTTCTCCTCAGGTTCTCTGGGACAGCTGGAACTGGCATTTCCCACTGTTCCACTGGAGAGGATTGTACTGGGGCTGGGGCTAAATGCTCTTTACAGAGCTTTGAGGGTTAAAAAGAAGTTTAAATATTAATTACATTTGCACTCATAAGACCTTTTTAGATTTCCAGAGTGGCATATGAAACCTTCCTTGCGAGTTTGTTGGGGTTTGTTGGTTCTTTCTTTGTTTGTTTGTTTATTTTTAATGCCATATCAAAACATGAACAATAAATTCTGATGTTTTGTGCCAATTTCTAGCCAACCTGAGGTTTTCAGCAGTAATTTCCTTCTGATTTCATGGAATTTGGGGCCTGAAATGCAGTAAGTTAGATGTACTTTGTTGAGAGAAAGTCTTGTCTTCATCCAGAGTTTTCATAACATCTAATTTAAAGTGCATCTTGAATTTTTTTGGGGGAAAAAAAATCTCAACAACTGTAGAGAAGAAAATGAGCCATTTCCTTAGCTTGAACCTGCATGAATTAGTGGTAAAGTGTTGATCTCTAAACTTGCAGTTTCAGAACCATAAAATCTGTTTATTTCACCCTATAAAAGAACATTTTAACTTATATGGCTATTTAAGTTTAAAAGCTATTAAGGAAGTGGGTGGGGAGAGGCAAAGCAGCAGCTTGAATCAGTAATTCAAGCTTGCAATCCAATCTTTATCTGCTGCATAGCTTGCATAGAAATCCCCCTCAATGTGGATTTTCTGTGCTTGTAGCAGTCCCACTATACAGGAAATATACAGTATATATTTCCAGCATTATCCATAATTGTAGTAAAACTTATAAAGCAACCCATTCCTTGTGTGTTCCTGGTAATCTGCAATAACTGGATATTCTTAAGTATGTGTTTGAAGAAGGGAAAAACATAACAGGAGCTGGCAGAAGTCATCTGCAGTGACTTTCCAAAGGGAGCTGGGGGAAGGTCTTTGACGTGCTCTCACTGCAGGAACAGCAGCAGCTTTGATGGAAAACCCACACCCCTGTGTTTCCTTTGTATCTGATCTTTGGGGGGTTGTTTTTCCCCAGAGATGGTAAATCTGGGACTGAAATCATGTCAATGAGTACCTGGGTCCTGCTGCTGCCCCTTCCCTGTGCCCTGGTGCACCCTGGAGAGAGCAGAGAGGGGCATGTGCTGGTTCCAGTGTGAGGTGAGTGTTTGTCCTTTGTGCCAGGGTGGGGACAGGGAGGGAAGGCTCCTTGCCCAGGCTCTGATGCTCCTTCACACCCCCAGAGCAGCCTTGCTGCACAGTCACCTTCAGCAAAAGGGAAGAGAGGGTCTGATTCCTTCTCTGCAAAACTGGGAGCAAATTGTCAATGCTTGGAGAGGCTGTGCTTCACTTGAGCTGTGCAGGCCTTTTCTAACCATCCCTGAACTTGCAGGACCTTGCTAAAAATAGTTCAGAGCGTAACTGTGAGTTCCCTGAACTGTGATCCCACAGTTCTGTGTTATCCCACTCACCATTCCTTTGGAAGGATTCATCCTTCCCCTCATAAAACTTAAATCAGCTTGTTCTTTGGGCCAAGGGTTGACATCATTATGATGCTACATCCTATGTAATGGTGTGAGACCTGGAAAAGCATTCACAGCAGAACCACGCTCGGAATTGGATTTGCAGCCCCTCAGCCCTGCAGCCTGGGCTCCCTCCTGCCTCCACATCTACTTGCACTTTTAAAACCTTGGGAATACCCCACAGTACCACAGCAGCACACTCCCGAGGATTTATCAAGGGTCTTTTTAATGTTCCCATTTTTCTTTCCGTGACCCCATTTGTTTTACAATGTTTGCAAGAGCAAAAGTGATTGTTTTACCAAATTAAGCTAGATTTTGTGCCAGGAACAGTGGCTAGAATCTTGTTGACAGATTTGGAAAAGATTATTCTTTCAGTACCTTTTGAATGATTTTTTTTAAGGATGTCTGCCATGTACTGTTTCCAAAATCAGACCATATTTAACTGTTTAATATTATATGGCGACAGGGACAAATTAGCACCTTTCATTTTCCTATCAAAATTAACACATCCCAAGAAGACACTTCAAGAGCTACAGATCTCTCATTTAGAAACAAATGTAGGAATTTACTTAAATATGTTCAACTCAAAATCTTGACACAAATAAAGTTTGAGAGATTTGTTATTGATTTCAAAGGCCTCAGAATTTTGCCTGTTTTCACAGAATCACAGAAAGGCTTCTGTTGGAATCGACTTTAAAGATCTAGTTCCTAAATTGAGAAAATTACACACAGAGCAAAGAGAAAGAAATGTCTCTATCAAACTAAAATGACAGTATTTAGATATACTAAGGAGACAGATCTTAATTTATGTAGTTGAGAAAACTTAAGGGCTCGGTGCAGGTGAAATGGCATAAGACTTATGAAATGCAAATATTTATAAGATTCTCTAGTTTAGTAAATGGATTCTTAAAAACTAAGAGATGAATAGCCTCCCCATGTATATAAAGAATGTGACAGCACTCTGCAGACCTTCAGAGAGCACAACATAGAGCACAAAGTATTTCTGCAGAAAGCTCTTATCTCCTTGATGCTCTTGAGTCCTCCCTGGATCTCCTTGTGGATGTTGTGAGTCTTCGCTGCAACATTTCTGTCCAGTCCAGCTGTTCTCTCCATTTCTCCTCCCAAATCTCTTTTGAGAGTATATTTTCCTGCATTTCTAGATTAAATATTCTTCCTGTGTTGATAGGTAACTCTGAAGGAATTTTCTGAGTGACTGATAAGATAGAGGTACCCCTTGTTGGGAGCAGCTGGCACGGGGAGCATTGTACAGCTGAGTGGGACTGTCAGAATTTAATTGTCTGCTTCTGTCACAGGGCTCAGCCGGCACGGGGTGGTTCATTGCATATATATATATATATATATGTATATATATTATCACAGTGCACTGCTGTTTTCTGAAGGATAAGATATTCCAAACCCAAACAAACTCAGAATTCCAGGAGCAGGAAGGCCTCCATGGGGTGTCCCTGCTCTCCGTGGGCACAGGGAGCGGCTCCCCAGGCAGAGGCTTCTCCTGAGCCCTTGCTGGGCTCTGGCAGTGCCCGGGCTGGGAGCTGCTGACAGGGGATGATGAAGTGTCTGTGGAGGCTCTGGTGGCCACGGGTCACTGCTGGAAATGTGAGACTGGAATGGGCTTGGTGCTAATGAGTGTCGGTGCTCCAGGGGCAGGGAAGGAGCGCCTGGCACACGGTGAGGGCCCCGGCTGCCAAGGTCAACATCCATGGGGCCTCGTGTCAATAAACAAGGGCCAAGTGAGCTTTTCCTCACACTGGATCGTGTGTTGAGCCCATCACACCCATCACACCCATGGCACACACACACAGCCCCCTCCCAGGGCAGCGGGGCAGGGACAGGAGCTCCCAGCACCTTTTCCCAGTTACATTTTCCTCTCCTTGCCATGAAATCTGCTGGAGCATCTCTTTCCTCTGCTCCCATTCTGTGCTTACTTGGCAGGATGTTCCCTTCCTTACCTTGGAACTCATCCTTCTCATCTCCCAGGGCAAGCCCCCTTTCAGCCACCACCTCTCCTTTTATCTTCCCAGCCCGCTCGGATACACACCAAGATTCCATTTCTGCTTTGGCCTGGATTATGTTTTCCAGGCCAATATATTATGCCACTTTCACACTCCCCTCCCTGCCCCATCTGGCTCCCATCCTACCCCCATAAAGATTATTAATATCTCCTGTTTCCAAGCGATTTATTATCAGGGGCCAAACTGGTGCCATTTCCCATTTTAGTAGAGCACTGAAAATAATCCTGAGGAGTGTGCCCAGCTATAAAAATGTACTTATACTGTCATATTTGCAGTTTCAAACATGCACCACTTGATAGTCTCAAAAGTGCTGTTTAATTGGGTTTTATGGGTTCTAATTAATTATACTAGGTAAAAAAATTACTTGTCCCATTACAGCTCTCTGTGGTTTACTCTGAAGAGCAATGTAATTTAGAGATAAATTGTCCTTCTCTATCCCCCTGTTCCCTTTTTCCCAGCAAGTTCCAGAATGGTTTAATTCTCCTTAAACCCAGGAATGAAGCTGAGAGAAAGCTACATTTTGTTCAGGGGACGCAGCTTTTCCCAACACCCATAAACAGCTTTATATGTGACTTGAAACGATTCCACGTTGCTTCTGCTGAATCAGGCTGGTGAAATTATGAATAATCCTGTGACTTTGCACAGCTCAGGTCTGGGGGGCTGGGATTTTGCAAAGCCTTGAATATATTGACAGTTTTGTACACTGGGGATTATTTCCTCTGATTATACAGAGATAACAGTGAAGGAAGCTGAGCATGGGCGCAGGAGTTTTTGGCTGGATGAAGGTCTAGACTGAGATTTCTTTCCATGGCCCTTTAGGGAAACAGAGTGTGAAAGGATCTGTCTGCTTTTATGGCATTTTGATGTGACTAGCAGCAGAGGAAACCTCTCAAGTTAACTCTCTATTCTGTCTTGCAGAATCATGAAGCCTGGATTATTCACACAAATTCTGGGCAGTCTTCTGGCTTTTAAATACTTCCTCGAATGACTTGGTGAAAAATGAGGAGCCAAGCAGGTACATTCATGGTTGTTTAAAGAACACTATTAAATTACGTCCCTTACTGTAATAAATTTGGTCTCATGAGGCAAAACATGAAATGTAGAAGAGCTGAAGTAGAAAACATTGTATCCTATGACAAGAGGGAATGGCTTTTAACTGAAAGAGAATAGATTTAGATTGAGATATGGGAAGAAATTCTTCCCTGTGAGGGTGGGAGGCCCTGGCACAGGGGAGCCAGGCCTTGCCCAGAGGAGCTGGAAGTGTCCAAGGCCAGGTTGGAGGAACCTGGGACAGTGGAAGGTGTCCCTGCCCATGGCAGGGGGTGGAACAAGATGAGCTTTAAGGTCCCTTTCAACCCAACCCCTTCTGTGAGTTAAGAGTATTAATTAATGAAGAAAGACAGGGCAAAGGAACCTCTTTCATTTGCCTTTAGAAGGCAAATGCTACTTATTTTGGAAATTTCACTTCACTTGAAAAATGTGAAGCTTCAGTGTGTGGCAGACACCTCCAAAACTGCCCCCCAGCCCTAGGAAGGAAACTTAGTGACCTGTCCATGTCTCTTACTGTGAGCTGTTACTATTAGCACTAAAAGGTTACAGTTCTTTATGTGAGTACACAGATGAGTGGTCACTGGATCAAAGAGTTTGTAAGTCATGCTTCACTAATTTGCTTATTTTATAAAATAAATAACCAGCATGTGAGTTGCTGGAAACTTGGACCATCTTGGGTGTCCAGATCATGTGCTGGAGCAGGAGCAGTGAGGGCTGCCAAATAAAGAAAAAAAAAGGAAAAAAGAATCACCACAGTCACACATATTACTCATCACAATCTGAAATAAGAATAATACTAAGAACTGTTTCTATTAAAGTAATCCTTTTGCGTAGTAATATCAGTTAAAAGAAATTTTAGTCCATATATCTGTTTGGTTATGTTAACAATAATTAAAACCTGCAACATTTTGAGGAATGAGTTAACAAAACAGAGCCCCAACCTGAATAAACCTGAAAATTTCTGGGCAGTGTTTGGGTAAGTCCAAACAAACCTGAATATCTTGGTGTTTGTACAGTGTTTATGTTTGCTTTTACATGGCTTTTACTGCCTCAGAAAGCCATTTATGAAGAGGAGACAATGAGAAACCTGCTCTTCTCATGTGATTTTCATCATCCAGAGATTTAAATGAGTGGAATCTGCTCTTTTCATGCTATTCTGTCCCCATAAATTACTCCTGGAGGCATTAAAAGGGCTTGTGAAAAACACCAAAAATAGCCAAAGCAGAAATACAAATGTTGCAAACTGCTCAGGCTGCTGTGGCAGCAGCTCTGCTGTTAATTTATTGAGGAAAAGTGCTGAGGGACTCCAGGCCCGTGTCAGCTCTGCTCTGTGTGCAGCCTCATCTTACACTGCTGAAATCAGGGCTAAAACCCCGGGTTAGGGGACAGCTTTTATAACAGTGTCCTGAGCATCATGCTCAGGAGCTGAGTGAGTTACTGTGATTGTTGCAGAGGATTAAGGAAAATGAAGGGAGAAAGGAAATACCAACTGGGAAGGGTCTCCTATCCCATGTCACCTGGGCAGCTCCTGCCCCGGAGGATTGAGCCTCTGTCACTGCCTGGGGAACAGTTTTTTCCTTGTATTTCCTTTATTTCCCTGGAACACTGACTGTGTACCAGGGAGCTCTGCCAGGGCCCTGCTCTGACCCAGCCCAGACTCAGTCCAGCCCCTCCATCCCAGGGACAGCAGCCCCATGAGTCAGGATCTCCTGATTCCAGGGGAATTCCTCCTGTGCTGGCTGAGCCCTCCCCACTGCCCAGCTCTGGGAAAGAGCCACTCTCAGCTCGGGGCTGGAGCTGATTTCTCACCTCCCTTCAAAAGAGAACATCCTCACACAGGGGGTTTTTGCCTGGACAGTTCTCATGAAGCCCTGACTGATTCTTTATGAACCAGGAGAAGCCCAACATTCACACAAGCCCCAGCGTGTCCTTCAAAGGCACTGGAGTGAAGTTTCTTGTCCCCTTGATAAGAAAACAGAACAAAATATTAGTCAGTGAAAAGGCCAGGTTGTCCAGCTTTCCCATGGCATGGAATTAGCCTGAACCCTGGTTTCCTCTCTTAGGAGTCCCCTCTGTGTTCTCCCAAGTGTGTTACCTGTGGGGGCTGCTCTGCCCCAGGTGGGAAGCTCAGAGCTGCTGCTCCTTCTTCCACAGGTTACTGGGGGGTCCTTTGGGTTAAAAACGTTCAGATTGGGGTCTTTTTTCATGGGTGTATGAAATGAGGCAGTCCTGTGGCTGAGGAAGGGCAGAGCTCCACTCCTCACTCTCTTATGACTAAGTGGGAGAGGCAGAAAAGCACCTGGAAAATGAGGATACATTCCTGAGTATCACTGCACTGAAAATAACACAGAGCACATTTAATAAGTTTTTTCTAACAAAATTTAGATGCTACTGCAGTGGTATTTTAAAAATAGCTGGTGATGTACCTGTAACTAGGATTGCTTGAAACTTTCCAGGCTTCTTTATTTCCTTGTAACTCTGTCAAGCTCCAAACATTCACTCTGAAATTTCCCATGCTGGTATCAGCTCTGGTTGATTTATTTAGAACAATGTAAACCCAACACAAATAAAATTTTAAGGGGAATTTCTAAGTTTGAGGCAAGGGAGGTATAGGTGTTCTCTCGATTCAGAATGAAATGAAATCATGAAATAACTGAATTTCCTGAATACTGGAAATTTGGAGTCCTGCTCCTACATATTCCTTCAGCAGTGAACATTACAAAATACAAATGGTTTTGACTTACCCAGGCACGTACATCCTGATTTTGTGAAACAGAAGGACGCAGTCAAAATGCTGAACTGAAACCTATTGGGCAGATTTTGATCACCTCTAATTTTAACTTGAAAGCTTTAATCATTTGGGCTTAGTATACAATGCCAGGTACCTTTTCCAGGTTTTGGAAAATTTCAGCTGATTATTACTCAGGAACAAGAATATAAATATACATAAATTTATATAATTACACTTATGTAACATTCCTATCCTATATATTGTATATATCACATATATCTACAAGAATTTTTATTTTAATTAAAAATTACATTTGTATAAAAATTTACATTTTTATATATACAGTGTTCTCCTTGAAAAGCTTATTATTTAGAAAAGGGTGTCGGGAATTCATGAAATTAGGGTTTCCTGCAAAGTGTTTATTTGGCTTCCTTTTGTACCTGTGTTTGGTCTAGTCTTTAATTACAGGACCATGTGCTATATTTAGCAGAGGACCCTGGGCTCGTTCCCTTCAGAAGGTGGAGCAGCTCAGGGGATGAGTCAAAGCTGGGGAGAGGAGGAGTCTGGTTTCTGGTGGACTTTGCCTGTATTTGCTGTGGAAACAGGGAAAGTGGAGTAAAAGAGAGAACTGAAAGGAAAATGGGGGATCTCATGGCTGAGGCATCTCAATCCTGCAAAGATCTCACCAAGTCTCAGAGAAGTCAATTTGAATTCTTCCCAACTGGCTATTAATTTGATTTTTTCTGTGTTCTCGTGTGTAGAGTGCACTATCAGTGCTGTTCCTCCTGCCATGGGATGCTGCACAGAGTTAAAAACTCTGAGAAATCAATTCCCAGACATCTCAGTTTGGGTACCCAACAAAAGCAAAATGTTTTGACCTGAATCTCTTTGTGTTTCAGTTTCCCATCTGTCAAACAAGAATAATAATATCCTCTCGTTTTCCAGGGTGCTGTTAGAAGCAATGAGCCTTGTGAAAGCACTCAGATGCCATCCTGATAACAGCCCGAGAAAAGCTCACAAGAAAATCAGCAATTGTGTCTTCCAAGCAGGTTTGGAGTAGTTTGTGGTAAATAAGGCCTCAAGCCACATGCTGAAAAATGACACTGTAACAAAATATTGAATATCTGCTTATTAAGTGAACACTGTCCATCCTGAGGTAGAATCTGGTGGAAAACAAGACATAATCCAATATTTAAAGAATGAATCATACTGCAGATGAATAAGGGTTTATGTCTATCCTTAGTTCTAATATTTGATCACTTGGTCTTGCAGATATAAGTCGTGCATGTGCAAAAGGATACCTGTGCCTAAAAAGAAACAAAATCTGAATTCCAAAATGGATGTTGTTCAATGAAATGTGCAGGATCTTAAATCTTGGCTCTGTTGAAGACATGCTTCTTGGTACCTGGTGAGTTTTGGAAAGGAGGAGACACTGCAACTCTCCTATTTGGGAAACAATTTTCAGGTAAATGTTAAAATGTAGGTTGCTGCCTCTCCTTTGTTTTTAAGTGATGAGTAAATCTTTCCAGCTGGGAAAGCTGATAGTAGAAATAGTTTTGAAATTAGTACATGGATTCTTGCACACACCTGGATGGGCTTCTGCAAAATTTGCATGGGATATTACAGCATGTTCTGTTATTAACATTTCTTCCTATGGCTTGTGGAAGAGGGAACTCCTTGGTTCTGCAGCAATCAAGTGTAGAGCTTGCACAGAGCTAGACAGACTACTTATTAAAGATAAAAGAATATTTTGGCACAAGAACAAAGGGGTATTAATTGGCTATGAATAAATTCTGTCTGGAAAATAAAGGAAATTTTTTTTAACCACCCCAGCAACAGGATTCTGGAGTATCTTCTCAGTGGAAAGGAACATGGAGTTCCCAATTCCCTCACATGGTGTCTGATGCAAGTAAAGGAGTTTGCAGATCTGAAGATCTTTTTGAGGGTAAGTAGGTCTTAAGAACATAAGAAGTTGGTTTCTAGTCCCATATCTGCCATTTCTTATTCCTAAAAACAGTCCTCACAAGGTTGACGTTTCCTTTCTGCACTTCACACAGGAGAGAGGGACTCCTGGAGGGATGAAAGAATAAATCCAATCTCCTCAGCCTCATTAAGGAGCACTCATGAGCAGAGCAAGGAATCAGAAAGGCATCTTTCCAAATCAGACAGGTCTTAGGAAGGAGTGAAGCACTCTGCCTCCCTGTGCCCCCTCTGAACCCTGCCCTGCCCTCTGAAGGGTGGGGAGCACCCATGGCAGAGGGTCTAGGGGGATACAGGGGTGTCTGTACCCCCAGGGTTTGTTCTCCTCTTCCTTTGCTCTGCTCTTTGCAAGGTAGGGCTGAATTGGCTTTGCTGACAAAGGATCCTTTCCAAACACAAGAGAGGAACAATTCCAGGCCACTGTGGAAGTCACTGGGAACAAACCATGCCCCTGCCCCTGTGAGGGTGTAAAGCATCTGATTGCTGTGCCAGCAGCAGGAGGCAGCTCAGGGTGAGCCCCTCCTGCTGCTTTGCCACTATTAAGATCCAGCAGTACCTTGAGGTTTCCTCACTGGCAATAATTTGCAGGATTAAATACTTCAAGCCACTCTAAAATTAGTTCCAGGAGGCATTTTGTGCTTTCATTTCAGAGCTCTCGTGAGCCTTTCCTACTTTGTGAGTCTGCTCCAGCTAATTACCTGATGGTTACAGCGCTCCAGAAGATTTCAAGTATCTGTCTTTTCCACTGCTCTAAAGACCCAAGTGGGGTTACAGAGCAGAACTTGCACCAGGAGTGTTTGCCAAACACTGTAACGAGCTGAGACAGCTCCGTGAGATGGGCAAATAAACCACTGCAGACAAAATTACCTTTGTCCAGGTCTCCAGCCAAGATGTAAAGCAAACTTATTTTCAGCCTTTAAAAACATCTCAGAAACCCAGTGAAAGAAATTTTATGTCTTGAGCCCTCCCCATGTGTCTGATCCCTTGGGGAGGCTGCAGAATCACAGCAGGCATTTTCAGCCCCTGGTGCTGTGGTTTAAGAGTTGCAAGGAATAGTGTATTTTATTTTGAGAACACCTGTAATTCGTGGTGCTGCTGTTTGTCCTGTGCAGGCATGTCACTGTCAGAGCCGGAGGTAGAATAATTTTTGGAGAAGTGAGAAATCTTATCACAGCAGCAAAAAAAGCACAGTTTAAAGAAGACTGTCAGCAGAAATCCACTGGCAGTGGTATTCCCCTCTTGAAGATACAGTTTGCTCTCTTTGGTGTTTTTGGCCACATTTTTTGGCCCATGCTGACTATGGCTATGCCATGATCCTTTCTCTTTTCTTCCCACCCTTCCCTGGCCCCCTTGAGATGATTCACTCTCTGAATATATACATGTGTCATGTATAAAAACTCTTACTCTCCTGACCACAGCAGAATTCCAGAGGGGTTAGTTTCTTTACTTGTGATTTCAGAGGCTGATTTTTTCCACCTGGCATCGTGCCCCAAAAAAACCATTTTTCTCTCATGCTTCTCATGGTCATCACTGCTGTTAGCTTCTTTTAAAACCTGCTTGCTCATTGCTTCTGAGGCGTCAAGGCAGGCCCAGCTTCACCCACCAGTTCCCAGCCTTAATTTTTGGGTTTGGTGTTCACGTTGTTAAACCTGTGGAGGTTTGAAACCCATTGCATGAATCCCAATACCAGGTGCAGATATTTTTATTCTTTGAAGTTGTTCATTCACTTACTCTGGATAAGAGATGTCCCCCCCTCCAGGTGAGTGTTTGCTGGAGCTGTTCCCACAGCAGGTCAGTGTTTCTTTCATCGGCCATTTCTGGGAACCTCCAGCACAACATCACACTGTCTGAAGTCATGGTTTGTAAACACAGTGACCTAACACAAAACTCTGCAAGTACCAAGGCCCTGCTCCTGCTCCAATAGCAGGACTCAGTTGCTTCAATATGATTTGCAATGTTTACGCTTGGATGTGATGTTTGAAAGCCATGCTCTGAGAGTGAGACCCAGCTCCCTTTGAAGTCACCGGAGTTCCAGCCTCCGCTTCCCCAGCACAAGGGTTGGGCTCTTTGTTCTTTTGTCTGGTGCAGTTTGATTGCAACGACCCAAGTGACGGGCTGGATTTTCTAACTTGTTTCCAAACTGTGCTCCTTCTGAGACCAGATTCCTCTACTGCCTCTCCCAAAAGAAGATGCCAGAGGAGCAGGGATGGAGGAAATCCGCTCAGAGCGAGTAAACAGCTCGGGAGGGCAGGCCAGCAGGATTCATTCATGCTCATTCAGCCCAGGCTGGCTGGTTGGATTCCAGTTGGAGCACTCTCTTCATTACAGGCCCCCTGGGGAATGTTAATCTGTACAGTATAAACATTTATAAACATCTACTAAATCATTACACTTCAGCTGCCCCATAAACACTCCTGAATGCTTTCCTCAGGCAGCGCTGCTTGGGTAACGTGTGGCTTTTTGGAATGAGTTTATGGGTGTTTGGCACCAGCAGAAATATGGGGAGAGGGCACGGGAGGTTAAATAACATTGTTTAAGCTCCATGGCTTATTTAGGATAAGGACAGAAGCTGTTTGTGATGGATTAAAGCAGGTCTAGCTGGTGGATGTTGAGGAAAAGCCCAGGTTGTGGAGGGGCTGAGAAAGCCCTTCAGCTTTGCAGGCTGGGCTTTAGTGAAGCCATTGCCATGAACATCACAAAATGCACTTCCCACCAGTCCACTTGACATTTCCGGACCCAGGCAATACATCATCCTTCTTCTATGACTGCAACACTCACTGCCTCTGGAAGAACTGCCTGATGCAAGGGGAAAATGTAGACATAACTTCAGAAAACTGAGCCAGAACTAACATAACCCACAGAACTGTAATCAGCTGGGCTGCAGGCCCAGGGCTGGCTTGCAGAACTTACAGAACACGTGAGTATATATGTATGTACACATATATAGGCAAAACCAACTGTGTTTCTGAACCAAAATGAGCATGTATATGTATTTGCATCTGTAAAGTGACAGTACTTAGTTTTGAATGCACACCTAGCAAAGCAAATCTTGAGCCCCTCCTCAAGCTGAACTCCTCAGTTCTTGGATGTGCTCTATCCCCTTCCTCCAGGTGCTGGCAGGACTGAGCATTCCCAGGACTGGGGTCAATGACTCCATGCCCACCTCTAGAAGTTGTGTTGAATATAGAAATAGTAAGAAAAAGCAAACAAACAAGCCAAACCTAACCAGTCTCAAATGGATAAAGGATAGTCCCCTCAATCATTAATAATTTTGTTTGTTTGCAGGGGTTTGGAAAAGCTGGGAACTGATAGAGGTGTCATTAATTACCACAAGGATTGTGTATGGGTAATGTAACATGAGCCAAAGTTAAACATGTTGTATGTGAGAGAGATGTGTTTACTGACAGCCTGATGAATAGGTAACAACTTGATTTCTAAAAAACATCTTAGGGAAAATTATTTAATTGGCTATAATTATGTCATATCCTACACTTGAGTGAATGTGCTGGTGTGCACAGATCTGTTTTACTTGCACATGCACAGGTATGTGGCTGGGGGGAATGGCTCAGCTGCAGAAACTGTGAGCAAGAGCCTTGTTTTGTGTCTCCTCTTGCTTGTGTTCACAGCACAGAGCCTCTGCCTTCCAGCTACAGCCACAGCTGGTGGGGAAATGAGGGCACAGAAAACAGGAGATTTTTTCCTAAGTGACCTGGATGCACAATCCATCCCTTTCAGAACCTCAGGGCCATGGGACAGTGGCTGTGACATGTCCAGTCTGCCCTGGCTGCTCAGACACCAACATCAGCCAAAAGGGTCTCTCAAGGAAACGGGACAAGGAAACTGGTTTTACTGTGTAAGTTTAATTACCAAAACCTCCTAAACCATGAACTCAAACCATGCCCATTGTGGGCTAAAGGTGACTTCACCATATCTGTACTTCCAGCCTGCAAATCTCCCTCTGTGTGCCATCAATATCTGTCTGTCTGTCTGTCTGTCTGTCTGTCTGTCTGTCTATCTATCTATCTATCTATCTATCTATCTCTATATCATCTGTATCTATATTTTCAGTAGGAGAGGGTGGTTTTCCCTCAGATTTTCTGTGGCAAGTAATGAGGTGAGTAATTTAAAGTCTTCTCTCTATGGTCAAGGATTGAGCTCACAGAAAGCATTACACATTATTAGCTGCAATTGGTCTTTTAACATCCCTCTTAGAGGGTCAATAAATGAGATTGCCCAGAGGTAAAGCAGTTGTTCTGGTGGGCAGGGTTATGTCACAGCTGGGGGCACGGCAGGGCCAGGCTGTCTGTCTGCCTGGGCAGGAGACTTCAGTCTCTAGAGTCAGTGTTCTATTAATTTTATAGTACCTTAAATTCATGTTGCAATTATGAGAAATAAGCAGAGAGAGAGAGAGAGAGAGAGAGATATCTCCTTTTAATATGTTTTAAAAAATCTGGAGCCTATTAACCTACTTAATTCTAATTATATTACAACTGGACTTTTAACTCAATACTTTGCAAATAAATTCAAAGCAAGGTAACCTGGATACACATTTTCCAACTGAACAACAGGAACATGTGGACAGGAGACAGAAGGGAGCAGAGCACCCAACATGATGCCTCAGGAGTGTCACATTTTAGTTTTTATCTTTAAATATCTAGGCTGAAATTTAGTGGTTTAATTCAAAAGCAAAAAAGTAAATGGTTTTTCCTTAAATGTAAATATCATAAAGTGCTTGCAGAAGGCACTTTCATCATCCTGGGTGAGTATCTGTGCCCACATAGCTGACTTTTAAGTTGTTCCTATTGAATTAAGGATCCAGAACATGAGCTTTTTATCCAGAAAAGTCAGCTTCCATTTTGCCAACCCTCCTTTCTCCAGCCTTGCCTGCACAGTGAAGACTGGGCATGCCTTTCACAAAAGATACTGGCCAAATTATTGCCAATAGGAAATGGGCACATGGAAAAT